GAAGGCTTATGGGGCCTGCATCTATCTGAGAACCGTTTCGACCGACGGGAAGATTGTCGTACATCTATTGGCTGTCAAGTCGAAAGTAGCACCTCTTGGTAATTTGCAGAAGCAGAAACGTATTTGTCTGCCTAGGTTGGAACTCTCTTCAGCACTTCTATTGAGCCATCTCTACCAGAAGTTTCAAACCAGCACAGCGCTAAAGGTAAAAACCATCTTTTGGACTGACTCGATGATAACCCTACACTGGCTCCGTTCAACTCCATCGCGATGGAAGACTTTTATTGCCAACAGAGTTTCGGAAGTGCAGCATCTCACGATCAACGGCATTTGGGCACATGTACCTGGTATCGAAAATCCGGCGGATATCATCTCCCGTGGAATGTATCCGACACATCTGCAAGACACATCATCCTGGTGGAGAGGCCCGGCATGGCTGAGCCAACCGTCACGGTTTTAACCTCCTCTTACGCAACAAACATCTTTCGACTTACCGGCTGAACTACTGGAAGAGATCCGTTTCACTACCGGTGCAGGTGCATTCACCAAATGAAATTTGTTTAACTCGATCGTCGTTTTCGGCTATCGTTCGTATCGTTGCTCTTTTACGTCACTTTAGTCACAACAGTAAGCCCGGCAATCGCCATGATCACACTGATGGATTTTTACGTACTTCGGAACTTACTAAAGCCACCAACAACCTAGTTTGGTTGGCACAACTCGAAGTTTTCGCTAAAGACGTCGCAGCAGTAGCCAGAAACAGTGGGGTTGCACCCAATTCGGACTTACGAAACCTTGCTCCAATTCTCGTCGTCGGAATCCTTAGAATCCTTGGCCGTCTCAGATACGCAACTATACCCGAGGTTGAAAACATCCTGTAATACTACCAGCACGACATCCCCTTACCAAGGCAATTGTTACCTATTATCACCTGAAAAATTTACACGCCGGACCTCAGCTGCTTGTAGTATGTGTCCGGGAAAAGTTCTGGCCAATTCGCATTCGAAACTTGGCACGAAGCATAATGCACGCCAGCATCAGCGGCTTTCGCCGTAATCCTCGTAGCCTCGAGCAGCTCATGGGAGATCTGCCTCCAGAAAGAGTTACTCCAACAATGCCCTTCCTCAACACCGGGGTAGATCTTTGTGGACCGTTCCAGTATCGTAAAAGCAACAGGGCTCCTCCAACAAAGTGCTTCGTAGCCATATTCGTGTGTCTTGTCACTAAGGCAGTTCATGTAGAGCTTGTCTGCGACCTCTCCACTGTAGCGTTCCTAGCAACACTGCATCGGTTCATCGCTCGAAGAGGCAAGCCGAACCTTATAGAGTGTGACAACGCAAAAAATTTCAAAGGAGCAGCAAGGGAACTGAAAGAGCTGGCCACGCAGTTTCGTTCACAACAACGTCAGGGTGAAATAGTTAACCGCTGTGCAAACGACGGAATTACTTTCAAATTCATTCCGCCACGCAGCCCAAACTTTGGCGGGTTGTGGGGAGCTTCGGTGAAGTCCTTCAAACATCACTTTCGTCGAACCGTTGGAAACTCCGTCCTATCTCAGGACGAATTCGTCACCCTGCTGACTCGGATCAAAGCCTGCTTAAATTCAAGATCGTTAACTCCTCTACGGCTGACCCCAATGACTTGGAAGTTTTAACGCCGGGTCACTTCCTCGTCCATCGACCACTTACTTGCTTTACTGAACCCGACCTTTCGGAGGTACGATTACGGGACAACATTACCCTAGGAACGATGCTTCTCCTGAAGGACGATAATCTTCCACCTCTGAAATGGAGATACGGAAGAGTCAGCAATATATACCGTGGAGACGATAACAATATCCGGGTAGTAGATGTCCGGACAGCAGAAGGAGAATATCGGCGCGGCATCGCAAGGATTTGTGTGCTTCCCGTTCGTCAAACAACAACTGGTGTACCCGGTGTCAACCCAGATGACCACTAGGCTCTTCCATCGCAGTACTCAGTACCCTGTAAGTATTGTTTTATAATGAATTTTCAAAAAAATAATGGAATGTTTGTACTCCGGCATGTGCGGCGCATACATGGTTACTCCGATGGTCAACCATTGAGTATGCCCAACCCCGATGACATCAAGACGATCTACGCAACCCATGATCGTCAATTGAATCGCTACGAGAACGTCGCCATAATCAAGAAGTTGTTGTCCAGTAACATGAACAATCGAGCACAACCTGGTTTGTTCACCGGTGTCCCTAATCTACGGTGTGGAGAAGTAGCAGAATCAGAACCGATGGTGAGACCGGCGAGTCTTACCGTGTTGTGGTGACAACCAGAGCACCATTATTCGATCAGGAAACATCTCTCAGCATCACTCGTCGCAGTTAAGTCGGTTGAAAGATGCAACCTTTCAACAGGGACCGGCATATGTTGGAGCAACCCTAGGATTAAAAATGAATTTATTCCGATTTCAACAAACTCTCATGCACTAATATAGATAAGGTATAAGATAGCACTATCGATCTCGTTTACTCCCATCAGAATGTCATTATTAATCTTTCTTCTGCTATCAGCTAGGGAGAGAAATTGATCTCGATAGAGAGTAGGAAAGGCCTTTTCATCAATCCCTTCTGGACTGAATTCCCATATATGTATACCTATATGCAAAGCAGTATCAAGTCAGTCAAAATAAATCTCTAAACAGTGCGCATCTTATTCTCTTTCTCTTTTTCCATTCCGATCGGTCTTCGTGCTCCCGCCGCGGTTACAATTGGATTCTGAGATGATTTTGAGCTTCACTGGCTTAGCTTTGTATGAAAATGGTTAATTAAAAAAAAATCAGTTCAGACATGAAAAATTTTGTAAGAAAATTATTTTGTTCCTTAAAAGTGCCCATATCGCGATGTATGGACGGTTGGTAGTAAACATAATTACCTATCTTGAGACAACGTTTTATCCAAATCAAACATGGCCATTTTTTTTTGCGTATGCGTGATAATGTTTGCACCATCGTATAAAAAAGGTTCCCGTTTCACTTGGGCATACAATGCCTTGGTTTTCTTTGCATGCACGTAACCTGTAGCTCATACCGTAGTAGGCTGTGTATAAAAGAAAATGATTTACTTAGTTTGACAGTTGCACCATAGTGAAGTGGCAGCGTATTCGTGATTAATCCCATACGTAAATGTCGCAAAAAGACATTTCAATCGCCGTGGGAGTGTCCCGGTGGACCGTCAAAAGGGTTTTAGACCGAAAAAAGAAAAGAAAACTATCCGCGAAGCTGGCCACTGGTCGTCCGAGGTCAGCTCGGGTCCCGAGGGTTATCGCTTCTATCAAAAGGAAGATTCGGGTGAATCCAGTGCGTTCAATAAGGAAAATGGCGAAGGAACACGAAATCAGTGACTTTACGGCACGGAAAATCGTAAAGGAAGATTGAGCATGTTTACCTTCGATCCCGTATCAAATTCCAGAACCGACCGATATATTAGTTCTCTTCCAGTAAAAGACGTGGCCGACGAGCACAAGAACGTGTATCTGACCAAGCATCCTGCTAGCGTTATGGTGTTTGGATTGGCGGCTTCCCATGGCAAAAAAAATGGACCCGGTGTTCATTCCAGAAGGCGACAAGGTCAACACGGAGGTCTACATTGGGATTATAAGTAAGTATGTTCTTCCGTGGATCAAAGAACAGTACGGTCCGAAGCCAAATGTTGTATTTCAACAAGATGGGGCTCCGTGCCACACCTCGAACCGCACTCAGAAGTGGTTGCAGGAACATCTTCCGTTCTGGGCGAAGGATATGTGGCCGCCATCCAGCCCCAATCTTAATCCGCTAGATTACTCAATATGGCATGTCATGAAGGCTTAAGCCTGTTCTAAACGCCACCCGAGTACAGAAAGCCTCAGACAAACATTGACCCGTACCTGAAGAGAAATGGATCCAGACTACATTATTAGAACCTGCCGTGCGTTCCGGAAACGTGTGGAGGCCGTTATTGCAGCAAGTGGAAATTCGATCGATGATTAACATAGTTTAAGACTCTGAGAAACATCTCCCTTTTGAATTAATAAAAAAAAACTCGAAAACGAAATTTTTGAGATTTTTTTTAATTTTGACATTGCTTAATGGTGCAAACATTATCACGCATACGGTAGGTCTCGAATTGAATTTTTTTCAGTATTTTTTTCAATTAATTTGGACAATTTCCTAAAAGTCATCGATTCGACACATTTTTGTGGGAGTTGTCATTTTTCCATAATATTTGTTCGAAAAAGTTTGGCCCTTCTCAAATGCTAGTCTAGATAAATTTTGTATATGCAAAGTGGCTTATTTAATCAAGCATCCAGAAAGTTTCATTGAAATCCGAGAGGGCGCTGCCAGCTCCGAATACGGTTTGGCGCGAAATGCGTCTTAAGCAAAAAGAAAATAGATCCTCGTGGTAAGAGAACACGATGCGGACAGATTGTCTTGCCTTTGTTTACACCTTCTCAACACCGCTCACAAATTTGCGGAGCAAAAATGAGAACTCATTCGTAACTTTCTCATTATATGTTCACAATTGCTTGATTGAGCCAATATTTGCAATATTTGAATATGCACTTGCTGCTTTCCTTCTGACCCATTTATTTTGATGCATACGTTTTCTCTGTTGATGATGTTTACAATAATTAGTGATTTTTGCAATGCGTAATTGTTAATTGGTATAAATCAATTTGCACTTGTATTATTACTTTACAATTTTATTGTAGGATATAGTTTTGCGTGTTGATCCGAATACCTTATCCTGCAAACATATCTGTTTGAGGAACGTAACCCTTGGTATTGGACCTGATCGTCGATTTTTTTACAGCACCAGTTTAATCAGGTCTGAAACATACGCAGAGAAGTTATTCAGACCGTTCTCTTGATTTTAATGGAATCAAACATTTATAGTCTCCGCTTATAAGAGACAACAGTTGACGCACTGATACATTGAATTAAGATATATTACGTGAAAACTGTGCTAAGACCAAAACGTGTCCATTTTACGTCCCAGTCGCCGTATCATTCAGGTTCGTTGGATTTTGAATCGAAACATCGAACTGGATCAGAATGATAAGATAGGTTGCCGTGGCACCAAGCATCTGTAAGAAATATGAAAATTTACATAAGTTAACTTGAAAAGTTGATAGGTAAAAACTACTCGTACGGTATAAAGCAACGTCCAATCGTATACGAACAAACCACAGGTAATTACCGGACTACGATGCAGCAATTGCTGCGAGAAGATGCTTAACTGTGAATAGAAAAGCGCTTGTAAAAAAACTGTACCAGAAAACAACCAACCGGGAACTACCTCGTTAATCACTGCACTTGAGGTGGAACAGTTGATGGCCTTGTGAACCAGAACTCCAATGTGTTTGCCCTGCGATGAAAACATCAAAATAGTTCAATCAATCGCTCAAATGAACCAAATCCTCCCACATTTACCTCACGCGTTATCTTACTTCCAACGGCAATGAAAAACAGCACAAAGAACAAATAGTACAAGTACCAGATGAAATTCATAATGCCCATGAAGTACAGCTCGTCCCAGTAGATCAACGTCTTGAACAACCCAAACGAGCAAACCACGCCAATGACGAAGCACAGTCCGACGCAGAATGTTATCTGAAAGGAATGTCACATCCAATTCAATGTCAACTACAGTGCCATGAAGCTCACCTGAACAGAGAAGCAGTAATTAACGAGCTCAACCACGTCATTGAGCTTGTCGTGCAGGACTTTAATTTGCCTCAGCACGACCATTTGTTCCTTTTCGTTGCATACGACAGTCTCCATACAGCCCGCAGTTGTGAGAAATCCAGGGGATGATGAATTGATGGGAAAATACATTCTGCAATGAAACAATTTTCCCGCTTTAAGCTTCAACGACAACGACAATAAAACAAAATGTTATACCTAAAAGCTTCATCTAAAAACCTATACCGATTTGATGTTGAAATCACCAAGGTCACTGCGTAGGCAATGATGACGGAAAAATTCATGGTGAAAAATATGCACTCAAACCAGTATTCCAGCTTCCAAATCCGTTCGTCCAGTGGAAGCCACATTATGGACACCAAAAATCCCGAACTCGTCAGAAACATCACCCTCCAAACCATTCGCCTCTGTTTGCCATGATCAATCTGAACACCGAACGTTTTGAGCTTAAAGTCCACTGTGTCAATCATTCTCAATACTTGTTGGATCTCTCCTGCCACATATCGACTGCAAGCCACGCAAGCCAGCGGATGGGTGTAGAACAGTATGACAATTACGTTACCACTTTCGTTGAAAACCTTCGAACCAGAATCGTAAACCAAATCGCGCGGTAAGCAGTTGCAAATGGCTCTCAGCAGGAACGTGAAAGTCAACAGGAGGTGAACGTGGTTGATTGACTTCTGCCAAGTTTTTAAGCTTTTCCCGGTCAAAATGGGTGTTATGCCCATGCACTTGGTGACGATTTCGCACGGAAGTACTGAGCTCCCTACGTTGCTGCCTGGACTACTGGTCCAGTACATTGTGACAGGGGTGCGGTTGAACGAAGGACGGAACTTAAGCCTCTGGACGGTGCAGCGGTTTGTGCGGAATTGAAAATTGACATGCCCGTAGTCGTCCGATTCCGTTGTGGCGTGAATGCGATGAGTATGTGGACAATTAATAAATCATGAAGCAGTTATCCTGGTCGTTGTAAAGTGTTTCGACATGCATCACATGTTTAAATATTTACAATGATGATGTTGCACACTAGCGGCTGATTTTATGTTTGCTTAATTATTTGATTTGATGGAATAGACACCCGTTTTAATCAGGATGTGCTTTCAAATTTTACTCATTCCAACCGCATCTTCAGCATATCTGTCTTGTCGTTACTTTTAATTGCATTAACTTTAGGGTTTAGGCCACCGTTTTCGAACTTTGTAGTTGTCTACTCCCACTGAATGACAGGCAGATTTAAAGATGCGAGGCAGAGTAAGCTTGATCTCTTAGGATCACAGTTAAGGTCCAAAGTAACACAAGTTCAGGCCATTTTGTTGAGTAAGCTTTTTTACAACTAAAACCAGTCATGCAAAAGTTATACACAGAAAAAATAAATTTTAATATTTCATCCAAGAGGATGCACTTCAACCATGTCGAAAATCTCATATAATTTCTATGGCATCAACAATAAACAAATGCAGTAAAAGTAGCTTAATGTCAGTTCATGCACTTTATTAACGATAGTTTTGTCCTTTTTGGTAAGTAATATTTCACCATATTTTCGACACGATTGAAGTATTCTTTCGAGCTGGGTGAAGGGGAAGCATAGAGAAGTCATCTTTCACTTGACGCAGTTCTTGTCTGATCATGGCTGCTTCAGGAAGTACCTGCATCGGTTCGGACACACATCGTCACACTTCCGCCCGAAGTGTGGGATTGTGGAAGAATCACCAGAGCACGTGGTCTACGAATGTCCTAGATTTGATGCTGTGCGAGAGTAGATGCTCGCCCTTAGCGTGGAGAATGTCGTCGACGAAATGTGTCGAGAGGAGGGCACCTTTAAAGCCGTCAGCAGAGCAGTAACACAGATCTTGTCAGTGCTGCAGCGAAAATGGCGAGAAGACCAGCTAGAAAGTAGTAATGTGCTCACACAAGTGCGAAGTGAAAGACGAAGCCGGGAGAACTCTCCGTCGGAGTAAGCTGAATCCACCACCGGGGTTAACCGAGTAGAGCGCGACGCTGGGAGCTAAATGGCTCACAAATTGGAGAGACGATCAGCGAACTGGAGCGCCAATTAGCTGAGGTAAGTGAGGTGCGTAATGCACGGCCCCCTCCGAAGTAATACGACAAGTGGTTCCGGGGGAAGAGGGCAAGGCGTCCAAGGAGGTTTTAGTGCGGTAAGAATACAGCACACCGTGTCACCGCGACTGTGCACACACACACACGGGCTACAAATGGTGAGTTGACAACCTGGGATGAACGTTTTACCTAGCTCTGGTCCACACAAGTTCCTACCTCACACCTCCCCGTGATGTAGCCTGGGCAATGTTGTCCTTCCGACAGTAGCAAAGTGAGGAGGTGTGACCTTTAGTAGCTCACTAGTCACAAACCGGTTGAGGTAACTGACATAGGACTAATTTTAGTCACATTCAAGTTGCTGCAACTTTGTGTGACATATGTGTGCTACTTTGGACGCGAACTCTGGCGCGGTAAAGTAGCACACATATTGCATAGATAACCATGGGATCACGATTGGCGAATACATACAACGAGTGGAGATAGCGGTCCGGAGGGGGGACCCAAAAGAATGGAGAAAAACAGAGAAAAAAAAAAAACAAAAAAGAAGAAAATGAGAAAACCCAAAAAAAATATGAACGACGACGGCAAGACGCCAGAAACTGAAAACGGAGGAGCGAACGTGTCCGCAAGAAACTGGATATTACAGAGATCACCAGTGTTGAACCTGGAGGCCACAGCGAGTTCCAGCAGCAGCAGTAAGCCCCAAGGTGGGCAGCAAGGACACCAAGGTCTTATGCTAAGCCAGATGTTCACACCGAAATCCAGCAGTTGCACACCCCAAGAAGGATTGCAGCTTGGGAAGACCAAATTGATGGGGGTCAGGAGGAAGATCTATGAACTCCATGACTTCGTCAAGGATAAGAGCAACGTCCACAAGGCAATAAAGGAAATGGTGACGGGCGTCATATCCGCCATTATTCCTGCCGAACGTGAACAGGATGCGCTGAGGACGAAATCCGTGGCTACCGAAAGGGCACTGATCGAGGCCAAGGAGAAAGCAGCAGCTGAAATACAGGAAACGCCGAAGGGACCTCGAAATCCACGCTCGGAAAAGAGGAAAAGGGAAACGCCAGGAGAGGAAAAGGAGTTGAAAAAAGTCAAGAACGACCAGGAAGACAACAAGGAGGAAGTATGGCGTTCCGTCTAGAAGCCGAAAGAGAAGTGGAAAAAACCGAAGGAAAAAGAAGTGAAGAAGAACAGAAGAAGAACAGAATGGTTCGAGAGGATCCGGAGTTGAAGCAATTAGGAGAGAACGAGGTGAAAATCAGGCGCACCCAGAAAGACGAGATGCTCTTTGAGCTGAAGAAGGATCCTGCGATCAAGAGCTCAGCCTTCAAGTAGCTCGTCGAAAAGTCTCTTGGCGAAGGGACGAGCGTAAGAGCTCTATCTCAGGAGATAGAGGTCGAGTGCAGGGACTTGGACGAGAACACTACAGAAGTGGAGCTAAGAAGTGCGTTAAGAGTGCACTGCGATCTGGGAGATGTCCCGATGTCAATCCAGATGAGGAAGGCGTACGGTGGCATGCAAACGGCGGTGATACGGCTTTCGAAAATTGCAGCGAATAAGCTGTTGGAGATGGGCAAGGTCAAGGTTGGTTGGTCAGTGAGCTCGCTGAAAACCACTCCTCGGGTTACCAAGCAACTGAAGCGATGCTTCAAGTGCATGGGTTTCGCTCACCAGGCGAGGAACAGCAAAAGCCCTGACAGATCTGATCTGTGCAGGAAATGCGGAGAGAAAGGCCATATTGCAAGAGACTGCACGAAGCAACCGAGGTGTATGCTCTGCAAAAAAGAGGACGGTAACGATCATACGACGGGAGGCTTCAAATGCCTGGGATACAAAAAAGCGATGGCAGGCTAACAGTATTGGAAGGTAACCAAAATAAACTTCGATCATTGCGATATTGCTCAGCAACTGTTGTGGCAGTCGACAACAGAAACAAAGTGCGACGTTGCAGTTATTGCGGAACCGTATCTAGTCCCTCCCGATAACGGTAACTGGGTGACTGATGGAGCTGGGATGGCAGCTAAACAAGTTTTAGGTACATACCCTATTAAAGAAGTGGTTGCGAGCTCATACGAAGGTTTTGTGATCACCAAAATCAACGGAATCTTCATGTGTAGTTGTTACGCACCCCCCAGATGGACGATGGAGAAGTTCCATGAGATGCTGGATGGACTTACCGAAGAGCTGATCGGACGACGACCGGTAGTCATCGGAGGAGACTTCAATGCTTGGGCAGTGGAGTGGGGAAGCAGATGCTCCAATGCAAGAGGGCATATTCTGCTGGAAGCTCTGGCAAAACTGGAAGTTATGGTGGTCAACGCGACCATCAGGCGATACGATATGGCATCGGCCAACGGAATACTGTGGCAGTACGGAGGACGAGAACTTGTGACCAGAAGTGGAAGGCTTTCGACAAGGATCTTTTCGTTGAGGCACTTCGTGTGGACAGGATTCGTGCAGATCTAGACGCAGCTGACAGAAACGTTAGTGAGAGCATGTGCGCGCTAGTTGTCTTAGGGCCAGAAGACGTGTTCAGAGAGCAAGAACCGAAGCAGACAGAGAGGAACGAAGAGGAGTGTTTCGAGTGGCCAGGGCCACACTTAAACGAGAGATAAAGCAGAGCAAATCGAATTGTTTTAAGGAGCTGTGTCGAGACGCTGATGCCAACCCCTGGGGCGACGCATACCGTGTCGTGATGGCAAAGATCAGAGGTCCAACGATGCCCGCTGAAATGTGCCTAGAGAAGCTAAAAATCATCGTGGAAGAACTTTTCCCGAAGCACGACCCAACAACCTGGCCACCTACACCGTACGGAGAAGGAGAGGGAGAGAACGTCACTAAGGCGGAACTCGTAACAGTGGCGAAAGGATTGAAGGTGAAGAAATCTCCCGGCTCGGATGGAATCCCCAACGTAGCGTTGAAAGCGGCGATCCAGGCATCCCCGGACATGTTCAGGATGGTGCTGCAGAAATGCCTGAACGAGGGTCACTTCCCTGGGGGAAGATACAGAAGCTAGAGTTGCTGCCGAAACCAGGAAAACCACCGGGGGATCCGGTATCGTACAGGCCTATATGCCTGCTGGATACACTCGGAAAACTCTTGGAGAGGATCATCCTAAACAGGCTGACGAAATGCACGGAGAGTGAGCACGGATTGTTGGATATGCAGTTCGGATTCCGTAAAGGGAGATCGGCGGTGGATGCAATTCGGACAGGGGTCG